CATGAGTGAACATTTTATCTGTCTCTGGATTTAAGAAAATAGTCTTAAAGTCTCTGAAGTATTACTCTGGTGTCAGAACTGGGTTTTTTTTTTTAAAAAAGTTCTGTCTCACAATTAATGTGTTCCATAGGGTTGTATAATGAGGCTGTGTAATAGGGCTGTGAAGATCTTCACGGGGATGCTTTATTTGGCAAAATTTCAAGTGAATGAGCCTTTGCTGCAGAAGCCAGTTTCTGGAGCAAAATGATCACGTTACTTTTAAAAGCAAAGCAAAATGGTTATTTTAATTTTTTTTAACTAGTTAATAAAAACAACACTAATATTGTATAGTACTTGTAAGATTTTGAGGGTTTTTATTATGGTTTATCAAAACAAATGTTGAATGGTTCTAAGAAATGAATACTTGCAATTATGTAAGTTTGACCTAATAGGTAATTTCCTATTTGGATTTTTCCCCCCATCAAAGTCAGCATCGATATTACTTCTAAAAATTAGAGACCTATAGAATACATATTTCATACACAACCCTTCAATTTTTCACAAAATGTTCAGTCATAAAAATGCGGATTATCTGCTTGACAGAATCCTTCTAAAAGAAAATATGATATAGAATCCCTATATATACAATTGTTATAAATTATATATTGAATGTATACAGGCCAATTTTTATTATTCCATCAAAAAAAATGAAACAAATCAGAATGAGGCCGTGGAAACTCAACACTACTGATCTTTTAATAGCTGAGGCCACCATAGTTAGAAAGCAAGCTTCATGCTACTCTCATGCCAATTATTCCTTTACTTACTTCTATGAAGATAAAGCTGCTTTCATGTGTATAGAGAAATATATAGAAAAAAATCTGCACACAAGGACTCTCTTCTAATGAGGGTAAAACTCCATCTTCAAACATTGAGAGAGAGAAAAGTCTTAGCTTGCTGACAAGGATCTAACAGAAAAATATTTTTAATGAATCTTAAATATACTGTTTTATTCCATTTAGCACATGCAAATATATGTCCATGTGACATCAGATTGATATTCAATCGCTGTCTGAAAGCAATATGGAGCTTTTTATTTCCTTATCCTTTTTTTTTCTTTTATCTATTTTTACATTCATTATATTTTGTATTTGAGCTTCAACACATGACTTTTCATAAATGAACAATTAAATAAAACCATAGATGAGTACTTGAATTGGCTTTGAAGATAAAAACAAAATTTAAAACCGTTAATAAAACTATCAGAATTAATTTGTATGAAATGAGAGGATAAAATAAACATTACAGATAATATAGTATTGAAAAGATACAGAAGTACTAAAGCAGCATCAGCAGCATGGACAACAAGGGCAATAAAACAAGAGAGGATAGTTGTCATTCTGTACTCTTTTTACAATTAATCCCATTTTCCATACATTTGGTATGACACAGAATAAAATTATTTTGATCAGGTAGTAACTACTTCAACCCCCCAATTTTAAAAATGTGGTTTTTTTTAAAAAAAATGATTCTATATTTAACAATTTCTGCCTGTTAAACTATGAGTGTTTATTAACAAAATGTGAAGCTATGACAATAAAGCTAGTGGAGAGAAAAATCTGTTGACCAAAACTAATATCTATTATTTTCTTCTAAATTAAAGAAATTAAACATCACTGCCTTATCAGAACGCTTATCATTTTTCAGCTTCATATTAATTACATGGTCCTAAAGTCACAATAACCCTAAGGACAAAGGCAAAAAATATACTGAAAGTAGCATATACTGGTAACAGTTTAACTAAAGGTATTAATTGGATGACCTCTTAAGAGGATGGAGGGAGGTTATGGAAGAAAAAGGCTGGGCTTACAATGTACATTAACTCAGTTTTTTAAACAATCACTTATTAACATGTTGTGGTGGTGATCCATCAATAATGCCTTGGAGACAGTTATGTATATAAAATGTAAACCAAAATTAATAGATTTATGGATTATGTTTTGAGAATCAAGGAATTCAAGGTGGTGTCATAGAAGATGAGCTGTGATTTTTTTTCTGACTACAATCCAAATATAATATTAATAGCATATTAGTAGTGGAGTAATTGCTTTGGGTTCTATGCATCAAGTTAAGATTTTTCTACATCAGCTAGGAATAGCATTTGTCATTAGACAAATGGGTGGAATAGCAACAATCTTCCTGGATTTATTTTAAGTGAAGTAGATTCTAAAATAATTGATCTTTTAAAATATTTTAGTGCGTGTCTGAATTAGTAAATAGAATTGAGTAGGAAGGGACTTTAAAAATTACAAATTGTTGCAAAATTTATAATTTTAAAAAAATCAATTATGGAACAAAATCACAACTAAAAATATCAACTAGAAAAGATCATAAAATCCCACAATTGAAAAAAATGTTGCATATGAAACCTCCAAAGAACGCAAAATCCTGGATCAGTACTGTAAGACTGTGCTGATTAAATAAATTGTCCATGACACACATCAATAACTTACAAATGTATTCTGAAAATCTAATTTCAAGGCATAAATACAGGTATATTTGTGGGTACATTCAGTACATTGATTAAAATATTGTTTACTTTATTTGCAGCTTGCGTAGCCTGCTTCAAGTAGAAAATTCTAGGCAGCTGACAATACAGTAAAATAATATAAAACAATGCAACACAATACAACGACTCGAACACATTTCACCAAGATTAATGTCTTTAATAGGCAACTGAGATGAAAGATTGGGTGGAACAGACCCAATCTGGCTGCACTGAAGTAACATAACTACCCTGCGTGGACTTGCCCAAGTACAGATTTTTTAAGTATGGGGGCCATATTAATAAAAGTTATAACATAAAATTATATCACCATTACTCATCAGATGACAAATGAAATGAAAAAGGAAATTGATCGCCAAAATAAAATAAGCAATCAGTATTTTTAAAGGACCATGAGGTTATGAACTTTTCATTCCAACTACCCTCTTGTACAAATAATGTACAAATCACAGTTTTACTCTTCACAGAGAGAGAGACAAAAGAATTGACAGATATTCCAAACAGAAAGAACAAGTTATTCATGCCAGATTATGATGTACACTCCAAATCCTTGCTAGTTTTATAGATAATAAGGTAAACAAGACATTTGTGTGGGTAGGCCCAGATTAATAAGTATAAAAATACATTCCTTTGCAGAAATGATTAGTTTCTATATAATTGTTTGCATATGTATGCACATAAATACATAGATCTGAATCTGTTAGAACAGCATAAAAGAAAAGGTACATAGTTTTGACTTAATAAGTGCTGTTTTAAGCAGAAAATCAGAAGGTATTTTTATTAAATACATGGTGCTTAATTTTGAAACAATTTCTTCTCATTTCCCAGTGTTGTGTGAAAAATAAAATAAAATATATATTATGGACATTGTTCCAGAATCATCATCTTTTCAGTTCTTAGCTTTTATCAAACACCCATAAGCCTCTCAAGAAATGTTTGCAATATAGAACAGTTAATTGGTCGCATCTCATATATACAGAAATACACTAGGAAAATAACAATGGATGAACTTGAACAATTTAATGGTTATACTTTCTGAAAATCAGAGTGTTATATGCATGTGATATAAAGGCAGGGTTTTGTTGAATAATAATTTAAAATATCCTGGATATATCGCTAATAGAAAAGTAAAACATAAAAGATTATTCCAGATTTTCTGCTTCATACTTCCAAACAAAGCCCCGATTGCTCACTGTTTTAGCAGAGGTGAAATAGAAAGGTGATTTTGGACTGTATCTAAATCAACATTGTATAAAGCACAAATATGGGAGAACACCAAGCTCTAATTCATTACAGCAACCAATAAGCACACTGCACCACTGGTCAAAAGATCCCAGCGGAGATTATACTAGCTGAGACTTCTCAGGAAACAACAACTGAATGAAAAATTGCTGGTGACTTTATACTGCTGCACCATAGAGAGTATTTTAACTTATTTATTGCACCTGTGTATGGTTTGCCAATTGCATAGGAGTAAATAGGAAAACATTCCAGAGGGTTAATGTCATTGCCCAGAGGATCAATGGTTGCCCTCTCCCCTCTTTGAAATAACTTTATAGCTCCCGCTACCTTAAGAAAGTTCAAAACATTCTTAAAAATCCACCTCATCCTGGATACCCTTTTCTGAACTATTACCATCTGGCAGATGGTACAGGCAGGGGTGGGCTTCAAAACTTTTAGCAACAGGTTCTCTACCTAGTTGCTGGGTAGGCATGGCCATGGTGGGTGTGGCCTGCACCATGGCAGGGGAGGTACTTTTGTCATCCCTGGGCTCCAGAGGCTTTCCTTGAGCTTCTGGGAGGGTGAAAATGGCTTCCTGGGCTCCGGAGGCTCTCTGGAAGCTGGAAATGGGCCCGTTTCCGGCCTTCTCAAACTTCCAGGAGGCCTGTTTTTCACCCTCCCCAAGCCTCCAAGCATGCCTTGCATTTTCTTGCATCCAAAATGGGCTGCGTGGGGACTCCTGAGAGGGGCGGGGTAAGAGGGGGCAGCCAGGAATGGGATTTGGGAGTTCTCCAAACTGCAGAATCTCAGCTAGAGGGTCTCCCGAACCTGTGTGAACACTCAGCAGCCCACCTCTGGGTGCAGGATAATAAAAACAAGGACCAATAGGCTGAAAAACAGCTTCTATCCCAGGGAAGTAACTATATTGAATTCTACTATATGGTGCAATATTAATGCAATATTGGGTTTCAATTGAATTGTACAGAATGTGAAGGATGTGCGTTTGTGTTTTATTTTAGAGTTACAATGTACACTGAAGATGGAATTTAATTTGGTTGTACGAGGTGCAATGACAATAAACTAAACTAAACTAAGTATACTGAAAAAAGAAACAAAATGATTAAGATGGCATTTAGTTTTTTAATTCCTTCAATATTATTTGCAAGAGTCAAAACTGGCAATTGCAAGAATTTCAAAATGTGTGTGTTTCTTTCATTGTGGTATACGCTCTTACCTTCCTTTCCTTTAAATCTTTCCTGATCGTATCTGTTATAGGCAGCTGGAATAGGTTGCTTGTTTCTTAAAGTTGGATCCTGAAAATAAAGGAAAAGGGGATTTTGTATCAGTTACATTTGTTTGCAAACATTTTATATTTATGCCTCAATAGTATAGATAACAGATAAATCATTTAATATATAGATACCTTCAAAGAAAGTTAACTTTCCATCTAACTTACTATGTAAATATTATACAAAAACTCATCAGAAGTCTCCCGTTTAATGTCTTCATAATTTTGGTTGCTGAATTAAGTGGGCACTAAGTGAAGAGTCTCTCTCTTATATACACACACACACACACACAGACACGCTTCAGCAAAATAATTTCTAATTAAACATATTTGAATTTAGGTGTGATAAACATTGAATGTAGATGCCCATTCTAATGACTCAATACACTTCAGTTCCTTAACCTTAGGAAAAGCATTTAATTTAAAATCTCATGTATACCGTATTTACTCCTAAGTGATTATTTCTATTGACTTAATTTGAATAAAATATATCAAAGTGAATTGCTATGACAAAACACAAAGTGTTAAATACTCTATATAGTTCAAAATTAAGTACACCTACATAATAAGCTTTTTTTCTTTGACAGAAGAAAAATGAAGGCAAACAAAAAAGAAAGAATTCCCATTTTTATTTTTTCCTTAAGAAAGTAAGATTTTTTTTCTACTGCTGTATTACCATTGGTGCAGTATTTGGTACTGGTCGTTGCTCAGGTGCACGGCCTTCTTCTCTAGCTTTGACTGACTGAAGAATTGCAAATATATTCTTGGCAAAGTTCTAAAATATGAAAACAAATAATAAAATAAAATACAGTGTTTTACATCATTTCAGAAACCATCAGTTGCACAAGTGTGTTGCAAACTATAAAATGAATACTCTTTAAGAAATCAGAATATAAATAACATTAAACACTATTAAACATGCAGCTTACATAGAAAATAAAAATGTATTCATGTGTGTATTTAGTGGATGAAATGCAAGGTGTTAAGTTTCATTCCTGGTGTTACTATTATCCTGGGGAAGGTAGAATAATTTAACAAATCCCATGGCTCAAGTGGAGCAAAATATTCACAGCAGACATATGTCAGCTACTTAAAATACTCTGAATATATTCTTAACCTGAACATAACCTTCACACTTTAGATTCTAAATTCTATATGTTAATAGTTATGGCTAAAATATAAGTATGACACTGGAGAAGTACATAACTGTATGCAAGCCAACAAACCAGTGAGTCAAGGATCATCAATACAGAATATAGGAATACACACATATTAACTCTGTCTGTAAGTGTGTATGTTTTGTATTATAGCACACACACACACATATACACACACATATATTCATGTATGTATGTATGTTTTTGTAGATTTTCACAGGTACAGGTATGCAAGTCTTGGTGTGTTCGGGTCTTTTCCCATGTAAGATTGAGAGTATCTTGGTGACGTTTCAACGAGGTCCCACTCGCCATCTTCAGGCTGGTGCTTTCGGCGAAGATACTCTCAATCTTACACGGGAAAAGACCCGAACACGCCAAGACCTGCATACCTGTACCCGTGAAAATCTATGAAAACACACACACACACACACACACACACATTCCTATATTCTGTATTGATGATCCTTGACTCACTGGTCCATTGGCTTACGTACAATTGTGAATTTCTCTAGTGTCATACTTATGCATACACACATGCATGCATGGTGGTGAAATAATTTTAAATGTAGCTGAGAATAAAGATGTTCTATTTTCAGCAAATATAATGTAAGAAATTCCTCTCTATTGAATTACTTCCTCCAATGGTTGTCAACTTTTTCTTCATCAGGGACCCCCTTTACATACATTTTTTGGCTATGGACCACCAAGACTTAACTCAGTATTTGTGATGACATTGTGGCCCCCAGGGTTCCATGGACCACAGGTTGAGAACCATATTGACTAGACTGCATTTCTTATATTTAATGAAAATAGAACAATTCCCAAACCCACCTACATTTAAAAAGATATGACAGTGGGGAAAAGTCCTCTTCTGCATACATATCATCAGGGTTGGGATTCTACCAGCTCTGTCCGGCTCTACAGAACCGGTAGTTCTGAAGAGCAGCAGACACAGAACTGGTTCTGTGTCTGCTGCTGTTTTGTCCTAACTGCCCACCTGGGCTCTTACCTGTCCTTTATTTCCTGCTTTTTCAACCACACCTGCTTTGCGCGGCACAGCTGTGGTTGAAAAAGCAGGGAAAAGGGGCTTTTCCAACCGCTGCGCACCCGCACACAGCACTGCTCAGCTGTCTGGGCAGCTCAGCAGGTCATAAATTGCACTCGCACGACACAGAGCAACAGAACCGGTAGTTATACCGGTCGGATCCTATCCCTGCATATCACATTTTCAACAAGGCTAAGACTGTTCCATTTGGGAAAAATAGACTTTCTTTCTTTTGAATGGAATAGAATCTACTGTCAATCATTTAAAGAGTATGACAAGATAAAGTAGATTATCATTATGCAGTTCCATATTATGAAATTACTTTATAAACTAAGTATAATGCTTAGTTTAAAAACATATATTCTATTCCTTTTTTCCAAAACAAGAAAAAGGATCCCACCTCAATATATATACAAACAGGTAAAAGGCAAGAAAAAAAATTAAGCCTTGAGAGCAAGTTAAAAACATGTAATATTTAAAGTGGGGGGTGGGGATTTCTTTTAACTATGCTGAAAGAGAAGCTACATAAGTGAAATGCATTATTCCTTTTAGGAGAAGCTTAAAAATGACAAATTAGCATTTTATAAAAGACACATATTTAACCAATTTGCATCAACTCTCAATATGCACTTCTTGAATGGCATATGTACACAACAGATGTCCTCCATTACTGTTAATTCTAAGTAATAATGAATGTATTCAGCAGATGAGCTCTATTAAAAACATTTGTAATATACTAAATGGCTCTATCTTATTCATTATCATTATGAAAACATTAAAAGCATAACAAGTAGATACATACTATAAGTTTATATAAACATCAGGGGATCTCATGTTTGGGAATATTGACTATTTAAAAAATTTGGATTGCTTGTACTGCTTTATATGCTTAACTTTCATTTTTTCCCCTTCTTCAAAGTTAGGTAAACAGAGGTAAATTAATTATAGTCTGCTATCAACATATATTTAAGATTAAATGATTGCTAAATATTCATGAGAACTTTTTAAATAACAATATGAAAAATATAGAACTAATTTGTGGTGCCAAAATGTAATGTTGTTTACTATGCCAAAAGTTTGTTTCAACTTCTCAAAAAAATAAAGAAGAATAACATATTGAACATCTTGTCCCATGAAGTAATTTCCAGTAGTTGGAATTAATAGCAGTGGCAGAGGAATGAGTAAGCACTGAATTATAATTATACAGCTTACTGTAATACAAAAGCTGTGTTTCATTAAACAGATTCCAAAGTAACAAGATACCATATGTTAAACCTCTCTGGGCTAATGGAGATACAACTGCTAACTGCATTTATCAAACAAGGAACCATCCTAAGACAAGCCTTACTTCTCAGAAGCAGGTTTTTCCCCTTCAAATTTAATTACATTCAAATTAATTTAGTGGTCCCAATATTAATTGCATAAGGCATTAACTATTCTAAACAAACTTGCTCAAAAGGCTGCTCCTACTTTTAATTTAAATGTTGTTAATATACTGAACCATTTATTTGTTTAAAGTTAATGTCAAACTGAAATTTAAAAAAAGTAGATGAAATGCATCCAGAAAACCATACAAAACTTTTTAAAACATAAATGTTATCATGGCTCATCCACCATTCTGTCCCAAGGACTTGAAGAACAGCCAGGTTTTCAATGCCTTTCTGAACATCATCAGGAAGGGAGCAATATGAAACTCTGAAGACAATGATGCTCCAGAGAATTAATGCTAGGGTCTATAATTGTTTTCCTGAGGTTTAAACATTAGTGATTGGAGATGAACAGTATTTTACAGAACTGAAGTTTTCAAAATGCCTTCTCAAAAAGTGGGATGGAAACTACTGGCTGCTAGGAAAGGGGAGAAATCATGAAAAACTACCCAGTGTAATTCTTACAATCTGTTTACCTGTAGGATGTTCAGAGAAGGGACATAATTCATTGAATTCATTCCCCAAGCACCCTTCATTCTCACAATCTAAAGGGCTTTTTAAAGTTTCAGAAACAGCATGTAAAATATTCTAAGTATCTGTGAGGAAGGGATAAAGGAAAAAAATAAGCAAATTCCTTTCTGTGATATTTAACATTTTGGTATTCAAAATCTGAATGCTTCAAGAGTCTTTTGTCAGTGCATGCTGTGCTTTCTAGTTGCAAAAATGATTTCTTGGACCGCTCCTGGAAATCACAGTATGACATGAGCTTCTAAAGGACAACAGAGAGGCCAGCTTTAAATGTGAATCACTTCCATTGGCTTTTTACTTTATCATAGAATGCTACTCTTTGAAATGCCTTCCTACTTAGAAATGCCTTCCTAAGATGTGTGTTTTATTGTCACCAAAGGAAAAACAGAAACTTCAGGCTCGTGGTTCCAGCTATCACTGGCAAAAACAACTGAACTGAACTTTTACTTCAGTGATGACAATGCATTTCCCAGGCTACATAATATCAAAACTGTATAATTTTTAATTAAGGATTTTGATTAGAATAGTAAAAACTAATACAAAATAAACTCAAAAAAGCAAAGAAAATAGAATGAAAAAATAAAAAGTGGAAGCAAAAAAGAAAGAAAATATATAAAGAAGAAAAAAAGGAGGTTAAGAGATAGAGTAAGTATCATATAACATTATAAAGATTTAAGATACCATTGTATACTAAACATAAGAACTTTTTAAAAAATTCTCCAGAAATAAGCACCTTTCCCCACCCTGGTCAAAGGAAATAAATCTACAACTGAACTGAGCACTGGATTTAAAACACTTTTTCAAGACCACAAAGCAACATACAATTTTTAATTTACTAATCTCATTTAGCTTATAGCTATAGAATTGTTGAAATTAAACATTAATCCATTCTATCAAGAAAGTTTATTTAATTTTTTTGGATGAAGAGTTCTCTCTAATAAATTTCTCCAGGATTCCTGTAACCACCAGTATATGAATATTGGATTTGACTGTGATACTTTGCACACAAAGTCCATGCATTTAACATGCATTGTCAAGTTTAATGTACTATATTTTATATTTAAAAGTGCTCAATGTGAAATAAAAAATGAATTAATTCCATAAGCACTGTACTTAAAAGAATCAGGAAGACCCTGCGCAGAAATTAATGTTCATATCTTTCTCATTTACCGTATACAATTAAGACTTGTTTTTAATAACAGAAGTTTATCTGGTCAAAAGTGAGGCTAGCTGAAAGTAATCAGGAAACTTTCTAGTAAATGTTCTTAAAGCCATAAGCTTATTTTTTTTAAGCCACTTGAGTTCAAGTGATGGACTGAAAATAATGGATCTCTTGAATTTCTAGCTGTTGTTAGATAATTAATTCTTTTCACAAATGGCAATGAAAAGTGGTAATTAAAAAATATCTTTCATTCAGAAAAATGCTTGGATGCTCATTCCTTTCTATGAAGATGAGCAATTTAAAACATATTTAAATAGTATTAATTTATGTAAAATAGTTAAGCAGTGATCAGAAATACAAAAGCATAGTACAGCTGGTGGAAGAGCTCCGATTTTGCAAATACTAAGTTTTGTAGTTTGATCGTATGCATATTTATTCAAATGAATTTTGAGAATTAAATCCATGCAATTAAAACACAACCATTTTGAAAAGTAGATTACAGCAGATTTTTGTGTTATTAATCTATTTGTGTAATATATATTTTTTTCATCAACAAGGTAATATAAGTCCTTCTAACTGACTTTGCAGAAGCAGGCTGTGGTATCTCTTCTCTGTATAGCAGGCACTCCTATCTGAAAAGTACTACATAGCCCTGAAATACTGAGAACTCTAACCACAATCCCAGTGAACAAACATCAGCTTCAATCAGTGTGCTTTCACTGTTTCAGAAATCAACTCGTTATTTATAGTTCAAATGACTGAAAGACAGCTACAAAAATCTGAACACGTGATAAAGGGCAGCAAAGACAAAAAACCTTTAGGTCATTGCTGCCATCTAGTAACTGACTAGTTTTTTGCAGTTAAAATCTGATAGCTCTATTGCACGGTAAAAAATGAATTATTTTAAACTCCCTTTTCCTATGTAGTATTTTAAATCACCCTGATATACAAAATTTTAATGTAAAATGTTCGAAACTTGAACATATACAGAAATTTACAATCTGAATGATTGGCCACAGGAACAGATTTAGTACTTTAAAACCTTGGAATTACAATAATCACATATATCGCTGGTTAAAAATCTTAACAAATATGTAACAAGGCTACCATCTAGTGGTCTGATAGAAAATAAAAGTTTAAAAAAATGTCCTTTTATATTTCCTAGGGAGAAACATATTTTTTTTAGTATATAAACAGATTTTTAAGAAGTATTTCAAGCATAAGTAGCAAAATGGATTAACTACAAGGACTTTTCAAGAAACAAAGCTAAACTAAGCAGTACTATACTTATTACAGATTCTTTAATTATCATTTGAAACATTCCAGTCTACAAATCCATTCAAGAGTGCAAGAATTTTAGATAAAACCACAGTAATCAAAGGTCTCTTTAAAGAAATATGTAAATTGAACAGAGATTATAACTTTCCATTACTACTCTGCTACCAATAATACAAAAAATTAAGGTGAACTTGCACATTATTCAGAGAATATGTACCTTGTTTTAAACAAATGAGAGGTACTTAGAACTAGAATAAAGTGGAAAATAACCTGTAACTAGTGTCATTCTGAAACAAATATGAATAATGAATACAAGAAAAATCTTAACACTAGTTTCCAAACCTAATACGGCAGTTAAGTGAGCATAAAGAGGTTATCCTTTGTCCTCTTGTGGCTTGTCATGATATAATTTGACATAGATAATACTGCGCTGCATTACAGTAGAACTTCTGGTCACGAACTTTGATCGCAACCCGATTTGGTCGTGACCCAAACCTAATTTTGCAAATTTGACGCTTACAAAAAAATGGTGCAGAAGGGGAAATTGGCCCCCCCCCCCCCCCCGAAAAAAGTGAATTTTTGGATCGGAACCAGATTTGGTCATGATCAGAAGCGTTCATGACTAGAGGTTCTACTGTATTTCAAGAATAAACAATAACACATACACACACACACATATACATATGTTGGTAGGTGGATATATGCCCAAGTGAAGCCAAACGTAATCCCACTGAGGATATAACCCAACTATAATGTACAGATAATCCTCAATTTACAACAGGTTGCTTAGCAACCATTCATATGTATGATAGGAACCCAAAAAAGCTACTGCCATACACATACTCCTGGTCACTGACCATATCTTGGGCACTCCGCATTTACAGCTGTTTGCAGGTTCCTGCAGTCATGCAACTACCATTTATGATGTTTTTGTTGGACTTTCTTCCAAATTTTGGCAAAAAAAATGCTCCCCAGTGAATAATGGGTTTGCTTAATGACCATATTTGCTCAATTACAGTGATGTTTGCTTGTGACCCACTGCATTTGCTGAACAATACAACCACTGCAAAAAGTTTGTAAAATCAGGTGCAGTCACATGGTGACCCGATATGGCTGAAATTGTGGTCTTCATTATGGTCATTGAGACTACCTATATATTTCTCAAAAAGATATATAAAGACTGCAATATTGCAAGTTGACGACTGTAATCATAAACTTTGTTCAATGCCTATTGTTAAAAAATGCTAGCCAATGATTACATTGCTTAGTATTTAAAGAATTCAAATAGGATTTCAGGGTAGGTAGTAGGTAATAGATAGACAATATTGCAGTTAGATGTGAGATATAGTAAAGTCTCAATGGGAAATGGGAGTTTGACAAATTTATTTTTGAAAATCAGAATTTTAAACTCTTAGGGACTAAATAATAAAATCTAACAAGGACCACACTTCCCTCCACAAATGAATTCAGAGTATCAATAATATAATTACTGTGGATTGCCTTAATGAAGTTTCTTTAGTAAAAAAAAACCTTCAAGTTCTAAAGAAAAGTGACTAGCACATTTCCAAATTAATAACATTGTAAAAGATAGCATTATAAAAATAAACTGATTATAAGCCATTATTAATTTTCATTCACAAGGCAATAATACATGTCTTTAAACAGGATGCAAATTTAATCTAGGATGATCCAAAGATAAATCGCATGGACTATTGTTTATTTTTCTATCATCCATTAAAAATGTGAAAAATACAAATTCCAAATCCAGGATAGTATATATTATACATGCAATTTAATCATAGAACAAATCAGATTCTGATTATTTTTAAAAAACTAAAAAGTTTATTTTCATACAGTTTTGTAATCCAAAGCTTAGAGTAATTCTCAAGATGGAGCTTTAATATTTCTTAGTTTTATTTATTGTACTTGTTATTTTGCATAAATTTTCTCTCATACATTAATGTGCATTGTGTTCTTCCTAAACAGTGAGGAAAGAGCATATACTTGATATCAGATAAAAATATAATAATCCAATATTACCTTGCCTGTGCTTTGTAAAATGGTAGTTCTTGTCCTCCATACTCTTTCCCTGCTAACAATATCTCTAGTAACATCAACTTCGGCATCAACAAAACTTCTCTGTTTAAGAGCAGTTATGTCATCATCTAAATCTGTCTTAATTGTGGCCCTTTTCTTGGCCATAATTTTGGCTTTGATAGCTGCGATTTTTTCCACCGACATGGCTTCAGATAAGGATCTAGGGGGGAAAGAATAGTTAGAAATTGGCATTGGCAGTTCAATCATGCTACTAAACAAATACTTCTTGGTAAACTATTAATCACCAAGATTTATAATAGAATTTCAATTTTATCAGTAGGCAATTCCAAAGAAAAAGCTGTCTTTCCTCCCAAGATCATCCTTTAAATACTTTTATTTGTATTGTGAAGAAAATGAGTATTGTGAAGAAATTGTATTGTACTGTATCGTAAATAAGTACTGTGAAGAAAACATAACTAAGAAAATGAAATAGAAGGGTATTTTATGATTGTTATCTCAATTCCATCATTAAGTCTAAAGATGTAAATATTCAGCACCTCATTCCCACTGTTGCTCAGTGAGAACAGAAGTGGAAACCAGAAATTTTCTGATTGTTTTCAAGTGATGCAAAAAGCCTAGTTTAGCTAATTTTTTTATAATAATGAGAAAATATTCTAATATTAGGTAAAACAAGTTAAACAGACATTCAATAGTATTCTCCTACGCTTAGAAATTTCTTTTGAATAGTCAATATCTATACTTCATCCAGTTTTCTAAGGACTGTAATTACTTTGGGACTGTTGAACCAGGATTTGAAATAATTGTTTAAACAACTGGCAAATTGCAATTTGTAAAATATATGGTTTATTCCTACTACTTTATTCAACCAGATTCACACTGAACAGCCAATATAAAAAATGTCAGAGTATTTCTTTAAATGAAAAATACTTTATCAGGACATCTGTTAGTGGTATTTCTAATTGCATATTATAAAATGATATAAATTATCATTTTTAAGTTATTTTCTACCACTACCATGTTTTTAATCCCAAGATATGCTGAATTTTAACAATTTGCCATTTTTGCAAGCACAAATTTCAGAAAAAGCTAGTAGTCATGCTATTGTTAAGGTAATTCTTAAATTAGCAATAGCACAAACAAAGCAAAACTTGCCTGATCTGCTCAGTCTGCACGATGCCTTCCTTGTGTCCTTCCAGCCGAGCTGCCAACCGTTCTTTGTCAAGCCGGACACACTCTTCATCCTTATAAGGAGAATTATTGCTCATAAGATCTTTATTTCTTACTAGAATAAATAACTAAGAGTCGACAAACATGTGAAACTGGAACATTTAAATTAAAGACTATCACAGGATGGTCTTCTTAATTACTTTTTAATAGCCAGTATTATCAATGTTTATAGGAACTATTTACAAATAAAAATCAAGTTAAATTTCAATCGTTCATTCTACCCAGAAAAAGTTCAGAAAGAAACTTAGAAAATATTGATCTCACACTGTGCAGTTGAACCGAATAAGAATTACAGTACTGGCAGTACTAGTTCGGTAGCTCTAATCATTTTTCATTGATCAAAAGAGCTAGCCTACCCACACCGAGTGTCAAACTGAAGAAAACTACAGAAAAATTCAATGAAGCTAATTCTAGTCCTTTAATCAAGCACTGAATTTCAAGCATTGCTATTTACAGTTCTTAAGTTGTAATTCAAAAGGGATGACTTGCCTTCATATTTACATACATTCCCTATGGAAGAAAATAATGGAAGAAAAAATCTGAATAGTTTTAAAACCATTGATCAAGCTTCATCTTATTCCATTAAAACCTTGCATGAAACCAATTTACCTCTATTCTTGGTTTCTTAGCTTCTGCTAATATTTCATCAGCTGCTCTTTTAACTGCAAGAAAGAGAGAAAATAATAAGCATTAAGGAGCAACTTTAAAAAAAATTCCACTAATAAAATATTTTATTAAGTTAAACTGTACCTTGAGTAGATCGCTGAAGACCTATTTCCAATGGTGCACTTCTATCTATACTTGACGATGTTGCTAAAAAATTTATAAGTACAGAAAAATATGAATGTTTTTAGAATGTTCAAAATTGAAGCAGACAGGTGAATAGAAAAAAAACGAAGCAGTAACCAGACTATATTAAAATTAGAACATGAATTCCCTACATGATAAGCAAGGTTGACTATGTGCCTATGGAAACATCCCTTACTATCCACTAGGCTTCAAGTTAATCATAGCACAATGTTCATGCTTGATATTCACGTTTGATATTTCCAATATCTTGCGGAATATCTACATTAGTCGTTTCCAAATAGTGAACAAGACTGTAGGTACTGTGAGACTACTTCCATGACAGAGAACTGGCTTTAAGCAGTTTTCTAATATCAGCAGAACTATCTTGGTACCCTTCCTACCAGGCTCCATATCCACTTCACAGTTTAAAAATAATAATAATTAAAAACAATGGGGAATCTAACACACTACATAGAATACATTACATTAAATATAATTGTTAGTTACCAAAAGGAACACTTCTGAGTGCCACATAGTTCCTACTGTTATTTTTTTAAAATAAAATAGGAAATAATAAGAAACAGCAATCTAATGTTCTGTCTGATAATGCCCCCACTAAAATGATAGAGCCAATATGGTGTAAAGGTCAAGGTATTTGACTAATAACAATGTGATCAAAGTTCTAATCTTCCATCAGTCACAGAAACTTCCTGGGTGCCTTTGAATCAGTCATTTTCTCTTAGCTCAACCTACCTAGAAGACTGTTCTTATGATGAAAACAGGAGGAAACACTACAGGTGCTACCTTAACTTTTTGTACAAAACATGGGATATAAATCAATCTCATTCATTTATCTCTTAGTAAATATGCCCTTTTCAACCTGACAGTGACAATATAATGAAGCCCTACATTGGAAACTCCTGAGTAAAAACTAATTCTAATACTTGACTGACCAAAAAAATATATAGCAAGAAAGTAAATAGTTTTTCTCATCAAACACCACTAATATGTGATGCTGACTGGAGATGGATAAGAGGAAAAGAAACTTTTCTTTTTTTCTGGACCTTTGCATTTTATTACTGCCTTTTTCATACTGAATTTTTCCAGGACTTTCTTCTTTGGGTTTTAAATCAGGCCCACAGAAACATTCAGTGAAAGAGAAAAGAACTATTCAGAACTTGTTTTTCTTTTTTAACACCAGTTTGTTTTATATTTTACACCAGATTCAAATAGTCTTATCTAATCAACTAAAACATTTGATTTTGTATTTTAATTTCTGACAGAAGGACTAAAATTAGTCTGCCTTTTAATATAAGAGAAACTATTTCATTACTCATAAGTACATGGTTGTATTTTTAGGAATAATACCAAAATAATAAGCAGTTACGTTTTTGACTCACATGTTTCCCCATTAAGATATGCAAGGAGATCTTTTCTGTCAGGTCTTCTTACTACAGGAATGTTTTCAGTCTGAAAGGAATAAATAATTGGCTTAATTCAGTAATGTAAAAGTCCCAAAATTGACATTGTTATGAACCCACTCAATATACTTAAATCTTAGCTAGACTTTCAAACCTACTAATATAGCAAAGCAAAAATACAATGCTAAAATCTTTAAAGACATATTAGTAAATACACTATCATTTACATGATCATATTTTATCAGCAAAACAAGCTGATATGTAATTACATTCATCAAACAACTGGCTGACACTAACACTAAGAGTATTTCTGTATTGTTTAGGTATAACACAGAGGTGTCAAACTCGCAGCCCGTGGGCCAGATGCATCATGCACTGGCCATGCCCACCCCATTTTAGCGAAGGGGGGAAAGTCACGATACATCACATGACGACAATGTGGCGCTGCAAATTTGACACCCCTGATATAACATTCGAATATTTTAAAATGTATTTCAAGAATACTTGACAAAAGAAATAATTCACAATTTTTTTCTGCCATTTTTGCAAAGATATCTCCCACCCGCATCTAAGGTTTGTAGATGAACTTAAATCACTGCCTGTCATGGCTTGAACTAGGTGACCATATGGTAGAGCTACTATGCAACTGAGACAGAAAAATACAGCAGTTTCAACAAAAGCAATTAGAACCTTTCAGATCCATGTGCGGAGATAGTCGCAGAACAGCTTCTTTCAAGTGCAGTTGGCATGTTCAACTTGTGCATACTGGGAGAAACTTCTGGTTACTTACTGTTTGCCCTCTGAAATAACTCGGTTTTTAGGAAGACCAAGAAGCTGAGGATCAATCTGATTTTTATTAGGAATCTTTTTCATAAAATTGTTGCTGCTGCTGCTGTAAAACAGCACCCACAAGTCCCACAAGATTGTCCATTTCTGAGAATTATAGTGAATGAAGACTTGTGGGTGCTGCTTTATAGCAGCAGCAGCAACAATTTCATGAAAAAGTTTCCTAATAAAAATCAGATTGAACCTCAGCCTCTTGGTCTTCCTAAAAACCGAGTTATTTCAGAGGGCAAACAGTAAGTAACAAGACAGCTAGTTTGATTGTTTTTATGATTATGGTTTATGGTCTTAGAATAAAACACAATTCAGTTCTTACCAGGAACATTTTGTGCTGCTTCTAATTATTATAAAAAGTTTAGTTAAATATTGGTTTTTTAGAGTGTTCAGTACATTTTAAGAAAGTTTATAAATACCAAATATTCATTTAAATTAGAGAGATGATGTTCTTTGCATGGAAAAAGTTGCCTTTTTTTTTTTACTTATTTGATATATTTTCTCACTTTTTAATCTGTTATTCAATGCACTCCCCCCCTTTTTATTACGTTTATATTTTAATATTTGTGATGAAATATAATAAAGGTATTTGTAAAAAATGTTTTTGGGCTAATGAAGCTTGAAGTATTATGTAATATGATGTTGTGGCTTGGCATCTATAGTTTGAATAATAATGAGTTGCAGGTAGTACTTGACTTACAATCAGTTGCTTTAGCAATCGTTGCAATAGATCATCCAAAAGCTACTTATGACCTGGTTTTGAAGTTACAACGGCTGCAGAGTCTCCATGGTCATTCATCCTTATGACCATATCGTGTTTCTCCAACAATATGGCCTCCACCAATAGGAAGGCCCAGCATTTTTAGGCATGAGGTGAAATTAAGCCCCGCCCCCAAAATTTAGGCCTATTTAAACTATGCATTTCCCCACCATTTCTCACATCGTTTGTTAGAACTACACGAGGTGAAGAGAAATGGGGAGGAAGAGAAGGGTGGGAGAAAACTTGCCTTTAGGAGCGCCATGCAGGTAGCCTAGGCTAGAATACCCTGATCTACTACCAATAGAACATCGGCCGATAGAAGCTCCCCGAAGGCAGAGTCACCAGCTGCTTCTATCGACCGGTAGAAGCGGCCTCGGGGCGAGCACTTGTGCGCACTCCCCTTCCCATGAGGCCATTTCTATCAGCCGATGGAAGCTCCCCAAAGGCAGAGTCACCAGCCGCTTCTATCGGCCAGTAGAAGCAGCTGGTGACTCTGCCTTTGGGGAGCTTCCATGGCCGATAGAAACAGCCTTGTGGTGAGGGGAGCGCTCATAAATTGTCTTTGAAGCTACCAGCGGGGCAGGAGAGAAAGCACACATGTATCTGTGTCTGGATAAAAATTGTGAGATTGCGACGGAGGGAATGGGAGAAAAGGCCTTAGCCCAAATCTGTTCTTGTTTTGCTTTCCTGCCCATTCTCTGATCAATCTCTCTGGGGCAGCTTTTGGCTTAAAATCGCCCAGGTCTCCCTCAGCTAAAGGAGAGGAGAGGTCACCAAAGACCATCCCTAACCTCCGCCATTTGAGGGGACCAAACTCATTGCTTCTCAAAGTTAGATCTGCAAGCTTTTCAAAAGTTCTTCTGAATGCCTCGGACGTCCGATGAAATCCAGAACGTCTTGTTATTGAACTCAATCAAAAAAAAAAAAAAAAAAAGAAGAAGAACCTGCACCTCGTCACCAAGTCCCTGGTTTTACGGCTCCTCTCTCATCCCAAATTATGCCAAAATAAGGGATTCCAAGGCTTGTGTTGGTTAATTGGTTAATGGCCACTCTTTCAGGCGCTCAGAGAGAGAGAGAGAGAGAGAGAGAGAGAGAGAGAGAGAGAGAGAGAGGAGGCGTTGCTGACGTTCTCAGACTCCCCCCAACTGTCAGCAAGGCCACCCGTGAGCTATGGCAGGATTGCCTCGGATCATGTGCAGAGTGCCTTCGCCGTTCAACTCCCCTCCACGACTCAAAGTTCATACTAAAATTAGGCCTTTCCAACCAGCCCCTGCAAATATTCGTCCCTCACCAGAGCAATAGAAAGGACAGTTTAGCTTCTCCCTAGCCCTTCTTCACTCCAGCTCCCTCCCACACTCATGCTGTGGTGGCGACCCTTTCACTCACCCCACTTCCCCACCGCATTCCCACGAGGACCGCTCCCGCGTCTCCTTTTCGGAGCCCGCCCAATCTCCCTTCTAAGGGTAGCTGACCTCTGCTGCCTCCTCTTCCCTCCCCGGCTCCCCAAACCAGCGGCGGCAGCAGGTAAAGGGAGGTTGGCTGCCCTGGGACTTTGGCAGGGTGCCAGGAAAGGTCTGGCCTGGAGAGGGGAGGGCGGCGGTGGGAACCCTGAAGATGCTGAGACCTTCCCTCGCCAGAAGAGCTTGGCTGACCCAGTGCAGGGACAAGGGCTAGCAGGGGTGGTGTGTGTGTGTGTGTGTGTGTGTGTGTGTGTGAGAGAGAGAGAGAGAGAGAGAGAGAGAGAGAGAGAGAGAGAGAGAGAGAGGGAGAGAAAGAGAGAAACTCAGCTTGCTTCCCTTCTGCTAAGAAAAGTTTGCAACTGCTCTCCCACGTGTACTCTCCTCGCCACGAAGCTGTTTCTATTGGCCGATGGAAGCGGCTGGTGACTCTGCCTTTTGGAAGCTTCCATCGGCCGATAGAAACAGCCTTGAGGAGAGTTCAAGTGGGGCACTCCTCTCAGAAGCGCCCTGCGGGCAGCCACATCTCACCCCAAAGCGGCTGGTGACTCTGCCTTTGGGGAACTTCCATTAGCTGATAGAAACAGCTTCGTGGCGAGGTGAGTGCACGTGGGCGCTCGCCCCAAGGCCGCTTTGACCGGCTGATAGAAGCAGCTGGTGACTCTACCTTTGGGGAGCTTCCAGTGGCGGCCTCATAGAGAGGTGAGTGCGCATGGGGTGCTCTAGGTGGAGGTGCACATGGGGAAAAAAATTAAGTCACCCCCAAAAAGACATCCTAGCCATTTTTTCAGGGCTCAAAAAAAAAAAAAAAAATAAGACTCAACCTTATTTTATGAGAAACACGGTTGTATAAGAGATGCTTCAACAACCCCCAACCCCATGTCACCACATCACACCCTGCTGGCTACCCACAGGCCTTGAAAATAAGACAAAGACAGTTAAAGGAATTGGTTTAAAAAATTCTCATTTTTACCCGATATCACTTTTAGGTAGTTATTTGAAAGGGGATATTTACTCTATATTATAGGGTTTCTTTTCTTTTTTCTTTCTCAATTATCATTACTTGGGTAGGAAATATATTATTTTATTAAATTCGTTAACGAGAACAACTCTAGGAAGCAATACAGCAACAGAGGTGTGAATGTAATATCATTATCTGATTTGTCTTTTAGTATATGATATATTAATTTGCTTCATTTTTTATTCTTTTAAACTTCCTGTTTGGTTTTTACAAGACATAAATTAAATATTTTCATGATTTCAAAAACTGAACACTGGATGGGACTAAAGATTATATGTAGAGACCATAAGATGGTGCAAAACATTATGACAATAAAAATACTGAAAACTTCTGAAGAATGGAATCAGAAAGTAGTGCAATATTAATAACATCTGCTATTATGCGAGACTATATTCAAAAGATGTTATTGAAGAATTGTCAAATGTAGAAGAAACAGTATCTGACAAGTTAGAAATGATATTGAAAGTAGCTTTTACAACTGACAGGCCAGGAGAGAGAGAGAGAGAGAGAGAGAGAGAGAGAGAGAGAGAGAGAG